TAACTACAGCTCAGACTGAGAGACTCTGATAACTACAGCTCAGACTGAGAGGCTGATAACTACAGCTCAGACTGAGAGGCTCTGATAACTACAGCTCAGACTGAGAGACTCTGATAACTACAGCTCAGACTGAGAGGCTCTGATAACTACAGCTCAGACTGAGAGACTCTGATAACTACAGCTCAGACTGAGAGACTCTGATAACTACAGCTCAGACTGAGAGATCTGATAACTACAGCTCAGACTGAGAGGCTCTGATAACTACAGCTCAGACTGAGAGGCTGATAACTACAGTTCAGATTGAGAGACTCTGATAACTACAGCTCAGACTGAGAGGCTGATAACTACAGCTCAGACTGAGAGGCTCTGATAACTACAGCTCAGACTGAGAGGCTCTGATAACTACAGCTCAGACTGAGAGGCTCTGATAACTACAGCTCAGACTGAGAGCCTCTGATAACTACAGCTCAGACTGAGAGACTGATAACTACAGCTCAGACTGAGAGGCTCTGATAACTACAGCTCAGACTGAGAGGCTCTGATAACTACAGCTCAGACTGAGAGACTCTGATAACTACAGCTCGGAGTGAGAGGCTCTGATAACTACAGCTCAGACTGAGAGACTCTGATAACTACAGCTCGGAGTGAGAGGCTCTGATAACTACAGCTCAGACTGAGAGAGATAACTACAGCTCAGACTGAGAGGCTCTGATAACTACAGCATTTTAAATATTATGTGCATGCCCTTTCTAATAATGTTGTATTGGGTGTGCCCCTTTAAAGATCATAAACACAGATCAAAAGCATCCACTCTGATGCTGAAAGCATCAGAATCACAAGTCTATACTAGTTACATGCAGTCATATACATGTATTCAGTAAACACACACTCATGCACACACACACACACACTGGTCCCACATATTTGATTTAGCTCATAGACTGTATGACGTAAGTACATCAAACCCTTAAGGTTTCATATGTTATGGAACACAGCTGTGTGTCATTTTTAAATACAGAGTAAGGTGTTTATTTATTTATTTAGCTTATTAGTTAGCTTATTATTTATCTTAGCAGGAAAAGGTAACATTCACTCCAACAATGACACAGACAGAACAAACACACACTGCATTCCATGCAAGAACATAAGAACATGCAGGAGCACAAGCTTCTCCACCAGAAATCCTCAATGGAAAACAAGTCACGACTCAAAGAAAGATCACTCAGTGTGTTTCCTCACCCAGACACTTCAGGGTGGTCACCTTCCCTGAGCTGCACTGAGTCTTACTGGGGAGGTCAAAGGTCACAGAGAAACTCAGCAAGCATGGAGAAGAACTACAAGTGAAGGTTATAATGTCCTTTGACTTACGGATGAGGACACAGAAGAATACTTAGACTGCTTCCAACAGATACTGAAGCACACTCATCAAAGTCAATGAAGATATTTGACAGATATTGTTGTGAATGAGCTCATGTACTGCACTTCGGAAGGTTTAAGAGTCCTTTCAATTTGGTACATATTTTAAACCTTTTCTACATTTTAGAGGGAAATATTGTACTTTATTTATCAAGATTGCTGCTCTTTAACAAAGCAGGATGGGGGGCCATCTTCACATGCTTTTCTCTTTTAAACAGAAATACGTAAACTGTTGAAAAGTACTTCAGCTCAAGCATCATTTTTCATTTTTCCTTTATGGCCACTTCAACTGCAGATCTCACCAATGGTAGCAGTTGTGATGAGGTGTGTTGCAAACAAAGTTCAGATTTATGATTTATCGACAGTGTATTTGGTTTTACAAAGGCTTTTTTAAGAAACCATTTTGTTTGATCCGATTGTTGCACATTTCTGAGGTCAGTATGATATTTAGGCCACTTGTTCTGAACATGCCAACTAGTACATGGACAGAACATGTGGAACAAATTGGTACAGAGTATAATGGTACTGTATGTGTAAGGAGACGAGACGCCATAGTCTGCACAGGACTCTCTGAGAGCGCAGCCAGTAGAGAGCTGCAGGAATGAGTCCTAAACCCGGAAGTCAGCCTAGTAAAATTCCTAGTTCCCTCGTCTGGTACACAGTGTTTTTTTTAAAAAGAGTTTTGGTTAGATAAAAAAAAATAAGGTCTGAGGTTATTACAATCTTACTCCTGCTAGACAAAACGTGGGATTTGCCAAAGACCTTATTTTCCTGCAATATTCCAAAATTCAATTGGAAAATCATCTTATTTGATCAGAATAAAAAGGTATGGAAACATTTGTGTTTGTGTTAACAGTATAAAGTAATATCCTCCTAACAATCAGAACCCTGTATTACAAACTGGAGATAAACTCTAACATTTTATATATTTACACCCTCCACCCCCATTTCTGGGCCTAGCAGAGCTAGAATAGAGTAGTTCAGGTCCAGTCCTAACGGAGGGGCTTCAGATGATTTATATAAGGGATAATGTTTATGATCCCCTACTTACTGACAATTAGCACAGTTAGCCTAACTGCTTTTCCAGTCATTTAATAGGGATGTGCTGTACCTGAAGGCTGTGGCATTATGGAGCTTAATGGTCTGTGCCTGGCTCAGGTTGATGGACACCAGGTTGTCTTGGAGATCTTGCGCGATGGAGGTCAGAGACACGAAGAAGGACTCCACATACCTGAAGGACACAGCCACACAGACACCATGTTCAGCTGAAGATACGGCTGTTGACATTGTCACTTGATAACACACATTTTAAACAAAAAATGCATTCGATTTTTTAAAGCACATCTGCTTTAAAAAATTGAATGCATTTTTTGTTTAACATTTTAAAAAAATCAAAAAAGTGTCTTCACTCTGACATCGCTAAATACTGTAAACCCGGTATCTTTACAGATTGAAAAACCTAAGCATTCGTCCAGGTTCTGGTCCATTGTGAACCGTCATGGCTTCTGTTCTGCGTTACCATTCACCAACATCCCACCCCTCATTTAACAGCGATCTAAGATTCCTGGAGATTTTTTCCATGTTATACTGGGCTCATTTCTAATCTTATCCTATGGAAGCTAACCCCTCCTGGTGATCAGTCCCAAAATTCTTTGAACACCCATGAGCAAATAATGCTGGAAGCCTGTAGTGTTTCTTGTATAAGGTCTATTTCTCTCAAATGTTCAAACTGAACCGATGCCCCATCACAGCACCACATGCAGACAGAGCTGAGGACAGGAGACCTGGAGTATCCCAGCTGCCTGCAGGCCGACACCCCCAGCACGTTGTTCCAGCCCTCGGAGCACACCGTCCTCCAGACACCCCCCCGCTGCACCTGCAGGACAGAGCTGCTCCCACTCAGACGCACTGACACAAACACGCAGGCAGACAGACAGACAGACGGACAGATAAACAGACAGACAGACAGACAGACAGGCAGACAGACAGACAGGCAGGCAGACATGCAGACAGACAGGCAGGCAGGCAGACATACAGGCAGACAGGCAGGCAGGCAGGCAGGCAGGCAGGCAGGCAGGGAGGCAGGCAGACAGACAGGCAGGCAGACGGGCGGAAGGACGGACAGGCAGACAGACAGACAGACAGGCAGGCAGACAAACAGACAGACAGGCAGACAGGCAGGCAGGCAGGCAGACAGACAGACAGGCAGGCAGACAGGCAGACAGACATAGGCAGGCAGGCAGACAGACAGACAGACAGGCAGACAGACAGGCAGACAGACAGACAGACAGACATATAACCTCAGAGTTAATATCAGCTCTTCCCTCAACATATGCCTGTATTATGTATGTAAAATGTACTCTATATAAAAGATGCTATTGTAGATGTCTTTTGATATCGCTGTTATAATATGATGTTTATATCAATATATCTCTGATATAAACGTCACATGCTGCATATTCAGGTGTGTGACTCACCACAGCCAAGCTCGTCCTCCCCGTTGTCACAGTGCAGCTGTCCGTCACACTGAGCCCACGCACTGATACACTGAGAGGAGGAGCCACACCGGAACTTCCCCACACAGCTCAGACCCACTGCGCGCGCGCACACACACACACACACACACACACACACACACACACACACACACACACACACACACACACACACACACACACACACACACACACACACACACACACACACACACAGAACACACACAACACACGCAACACACACACATAACACACACACAACACACACAACACACACACAACACACACACAACACACACACAACACACACACAACACACACACAACACACACAACACACACACAACACACACACAAC